CATAGACAAGTAAATTAAGCAAATAATTTTATGAACTGCCAAATCAATTGACCGATTGTATATATCCCTTTTTGTTTAACAGTTTTATGTTTTCCTAGTAATAAATTACTAAAGTAACAATACAAATAAGATACAGAAAATATTTAATAATATTGAGCGAGAAAGTCTGCTTTTAATTCTATATGTCAACATGGAGGTGGGCTAGATGTTGGTGCAGTATCAACAGTTTGTGTGGAGGTTGATGCAACTGTTGATGATTTATTCTGGGTAGTTAACCTTCGCTTAGCTAACAAAAATTGTTCCATTAATTCATGATGAGCTTCTAGCCGTTCAATACAATGTAGACATGCCGTTTTAGGTAATGGATCATTCACGTTTACCTGTATCACAAAAGAGTAAAATTTTATGTTTTTAAACTAAATATAAATGTTCATTAATATTATTACTCTAATACAGTATAGTACATATATTTTTAAATACAGTATGTTTAAGGAGGAATTAAACACTTTGATTACACAAAAATACTCTTATACATAAATACTAAAATAGATATTTTTCTGAATTAATGTAACAATATTTATATTCAAAAATTTTATAAATTTATAATAAAATAATGTTTTTGTCATCATATGATATTTTAGAATTGTAAAATTATAATTATAATTAAGTCATAATTTCCAAGTATACCTAAAAAATATGTATAAAACATCTACAGAGGTAACTCAAATAAGATAAAACCTTAACTAGTTATACATAGAATGTAATATAAAATGTGAAAAGCTAATTAAAAATAATATGATGGGGATGATTTCAAAATCTATAAAAGCAAATAATGATTTTACCGTAATTGGAAGATAAGCATTTATTTTTTCAGCGAGCTTCATTCTCTCACCCTCTTCACCGTATATGTGGATCACGAAACGGTTCATCTTACTGCAAAGTCTGCATATAAATCCCGTGATCACAGCTTTATCCGTGCTACCCATTTCGATTGTTTATTAAAATTTACTCTTTTTGGTATGGCACTTATTAACACCCTGTGACTCGTCACACACGTCAATAACTTCACACGAAAATTACTATTCTATGAAATCTCACAAGATGTTGTGCTTCCTTCAAGATTAAGTTTGTTTATCACAGTTCTGAACAACTGGCGCTACTAGCACTGTGCTCCACTACTCTCATCAGGACCGTACATATAAAATTGCTTATATATATTTTTTATGAGAATCATAAGTTAAATATACGATAATAACTTCAATGAAGCAAAGTTATAAATATATTTAAATTATTAGATTTAAGAACA